TGCTCTGTTGCTATGTAAGGTTGTGAGATCATATACCATCTCATTTAGTTCTCATGATAGAGTCACACACACACACACACACACACACACACACACATACACACACACGGTAGAGTCTAACTATATAGCCCTGGATAACCTACTATAGAGAATTATATTCTACAGTAGAACATTTTGTCCTCAAATTCACAGAAATCTGCCTGCTTCTGTCTCTTGAGTACCAGAATTAGAGGCACGAACCATCATGTCCAGGCTTATTTGTTAATTTTTGACAGGCTCTCTAATCTGCCTAGTCTTAGACTCTCTTAGTAGGAGAAGCTGACCGTCTGTTTTATTTCCTGGACACTCAGGTTATAGTCATGAACCATCATCTGGTCTATGCAGGGCTTGGAGTTGAACCCAGGGCCTGTTGCATGCTAGGCAAGCACTCTACCACCTGAGCCACATCCCCAGTCCAAGGCATTAGAATTTTTAAAGATAAAGAAAATAAAATATAGGAGCTGGGGAGATGACTTACTCATGTACTGTGCAAGCACACCAATCTGAATTTGGATCGAAGCATCTGTGTAAAAACCTGAGCATGGGGTGTGCCAGAACCCCCAGTGCTGGGGAGATGGAGACAAGACAGTCCCAAGGCTTTCTGGCTTTGGAAATTAGCGAACTCTAGGTTTGTTGTGAGAGCTTATTTTAAAAGAAAAGACGCTGGACAGAGGCTCAGCAGTTAAGAGCACTGGTAGCTCTTGCAGAGGACCTGGGTTCCATTCCTAGCACCCACATGGTGATTCAAAACCATCCAAACTCCAGTTTGAGGGCATCTTCTGACTCCTCCCTCACCAGACACTCATGTGGAGCACATGCATACACGTAAGCAAAACATTCACACACAAAATAATTTATTAAACAGATAAGGTGCAGTATTTGAAGAAGCCCAGTAGCAATCTCTGGCCTGTACATACATGTGCACACACACATGCACAGGTGTGCACACCAATATGTATATATACACATGTCACAAAACAGAGAGAAGCTTAGAGCTGGGCGTGACAGCACACACCTGCAATTCAAGCACCAGGGGCCTGAGGCAGGAAGGTGAAGATTCTGAGGCCAGCCTATGGTACAGATTGATATTCTCCCTCTCTGTCATCCTCCCTCCACCCCAGCCCCCACACAAGCAGCATGGAGAAATTAAAGCTTAGAGAAATAGTGACACATCACACAGGGTACCACAGATGGCAGGTGGCAGAATCGGGGCTCCATCCAACCCAGTATTCCGTATTTCAATGCCCATAGTTTTGGAAACCATGCTGCTCTGATAAGCTCCATACCATTCCCATTTGAAACTGTGAACATGCTGATAAAGTTTCAAATTACCAGGGTGATACTACATTAGTCCCTTCTTAATCAACTAAAATGACAGTTGTGAAAGTGTCTCCTGCTGGCCCCTTCTGGCCTGGCTCCAAGTAATCATCCCTTGTCCCTCAGAGTCCTTGGCTTTCCCAACAGAGTTGAGGCAACTGGCCGACCAGGAGCGGGTAGAAGAGTGCCTCACTCTGCACAGGTGGCCATGGCAGCCAGCTGTTGAACCTGAAGCATTATTGTCCAATGCTAATGGGAACCGACTGGCTCAGTCACACTGCTGCAGTGGTAGCCTAGGTTCTCCAGGGTCACAGATTTTGTGTTCCTCACACAGTGTTAGACACCAAATCCATTCATTTTTGAAATGATAAAGCAACATCTTCTCAATATAGATGCTTGGGATGTGCAGAAAATTGAAAGAGGAAAGCTTTTCCTTTTATCTCAACTTTAGAAACAACCATTGGTAATATTTTTCTAGGTTTACTTACTTCATGCACGCTAAACATTATTTAGGCAAGTGTGGTCATACATGCCTGAAAGCCCAGCACTGGAGAGGTAGAGACAGGAGAATTGGGAGTTCAAGGTCATTCTCAGCTATATAGTAATGTTGAGGCCCCTAGAATATAAGAGAATATACTTCAAAACAAACCCAAAATTAAGACATGTTTCCAGCAGCTATACCACCTCTTGGAAGTTTAAAGAACATTAAAGAGGAGGTGGGAGAAATGTAAGAGCTGGAAATGCCATCATAGCAGTTGTTACCTGCACAAGACTGGCTCTGCTGAGTTGTCAGGATGGCTAGGTGGGTAAAGGTGCTCGCCACCAAGACTGGAAACCTAAGTTCAATTGCAGGTACCCACATGTCAACTCCTGCAAATTGTACTCTGATATTCACATAAACACATGCACGTGCATACGTGCATGCGTGCACGCACACACACACACACACTAATGTAATAATAATAACAATAATAATGATAATAATAAAATGGCTCTGTCCACAATCATGGATAGGGGAGGAGTTAATGGTGTTTTATTGGATCCATGTTATCCTACTGGCTACTGAAAGATCCTGAGAGGGAGTAGTCATTGTCTTCATGCTGGGGAACCCACCAAGCTCCAATTGTTAGTTCCACACTCATGGCTACTAGTTAAACTCAGAGAGTCATAAGATAAAACAGAAGGACATGAATGTGGAGAAGGGATTCAGGACAGTCAGGGATTGGCAGTGGTGATCAGAGTATCCAAAATGCATTTTATACATGTATAAAATATCATAGAACAAATTACATTAATAAAAAGAACAAAAAAATCAGCTTTGCAATTATAAAAGTAATACATATTTTTAAACCCCACCTTCACATTATTTCACAGGAACATTAGAGATTGCAAACAAAACACTTGTTATCACCACATTTATAGGTAACCATTATCAATATTTTGCTACATGTCATTTTCCCCCAGTGATGTAAGCAGATATTAAGCATATAAAGTGGGGACCATTGCTGGTCAAGGTGACAAACACCCATAGTCTTAGAACTCAGGAGGCAGAGGAACTTAAGTTCAAGGTCACTCTTAGATAACTAGTGAGTCTGGGTTCAGCTAGAGCTGCACAGACCCTATCTCAAGGGGAAAAAAAATGCTTTTCATTTAATTTCTATCATCACTAGTCTATACAGTAGCAAAATTGAAATTATGATCTACATTTAATGTTAACCAAGGTCAAGAACAAAGAGGGCCTGATGATATAAGTCTAACACCCAAGCTGTTGTGGAGGATGAGGCAAGACAGTCAAAAATTCTAGAATCCAAAACCAGCCTGGGATACATAGTAAAATGCCAATGGAAGGAAGGAAGGGAGGAAGGAAGGAAGGAGGGAAGGAAAGAGAAAATAATAGAAAAAACACAATAAGATATTAATTGATGGGTCACAAAAATGAAAATTAAGCATTACTGAGCATATGGAGAAAAATTGTACATTTGCATATTCCTTGCAGGAAAGCAGAATGTTTTGGCAGTTTCTCAAAATGCTAAACACAGAATTACCAGATGGGCTGACAATTCTACTTGTAGGTATATATCTCAAAGAAAATAAACAGGTACTCAAAAAGTGCTCATATACAAGGCTCATAATGGAGCTAGCCACGGTAGCTAAGAAGCTGACTCGGCTGCCGTGGCTTAAAAAGCAGCAGCAATTTTAAAAAGGACAACACCCCATTTCATGAGAGATGGCTCAGTCGTTAAGAACACTAGCTGTTCTTCCAGAGGACATTGGTTAAATTCCCAGCACCCACATGGCAGTTCCCAATTGTCTTTAATGCCAGTTCCGGGTGATCTGACACCCCCACACAGACATTCATGCAGGCCAAACACCAATGCACATGAAAAAAAAAAATTAAATATAACCATAGTCAAGGAAATCAGGACAATAACAGGTGGAATCTGAATTCATATATTCTGGATTCAAGGGTTGATTCGGTACCCTGGAAGTGTAGGCATTTGAGTATGTGATCTCTCTGAATGTCAGTTCTGTCTTCCATCAAACAAGGGAATGGAGTGTTAGTTTTCACAGAGACATTCCTAGCAGTCATTGAATAAGTAATATTGATTTTCACCAGCCTAGCTGCTGGTTACACTTTATTTATTTACTCATTCATTCTTTTGAGACATGGTCTAGGCTGGCCTCAAACTCCCTTATATTATAGCCAAGGATGACTGAATTTCAGATCTACCTGCCTCTACTTGTGTGCTAGGTTTATGCAGTGCTGGGGACAGGGCCTAGGGGCTTGTGCATGTTATGCAAGCATTCTACCTACTGAGCTGCATTTTCATCCTTCTTGTGTGTGTGTGTGTGTGTGTGTGTGTGTGTGTGTAGGTGTGTGTGTAGGCCAGAAGTTGGTATAAGGTGTCTCAGCGCTAGCTAGCAAGTCCCAAGGATCCTCCTGTCTTCACTCCCATCACTGGGATTAGAAGTGTACACTGTGCACCTGCTCTTTTAATGTGTGTTCTGGGACTCAGATTTGGGTCCTCATGCTTGAGCTGTGAATGCTGTACCAATTGAGCCCCATTACTAGCCCTGACCCTATATTTAATGCTGCCATGTTTTGTTACTATGATTATTCTCCAGGTTTGTAAAGATCAATGTTCCAAATAGCTTTGTCCAAACTATTTTCACCTCTCTTGTTCCTGTCCATACAAACATACAGGACTGACACAGGTGCGCGCGCGCACACACACACACACACACACACACACACACACACACACACACACACACTGTCTGCTGCCCCCTTTTATATCCAAATCAGGTACATAAATACAAACAGCACAGAGCCCATTAGCTGGAGTCCACACTCTTTCACAAAGAAGGGCACAGCACGTCGTCTACAAATGCACTCTTGGCTCACCAATCACGCTTGGAACCCACCAGTTCTCTGACAGATCCCAAGCTACCCATATTGCTAGATCCATTCACGCAAAGCCTATTTACAGACTCCATTATGGGAAGGTACATTATTCTTGCTTTCTTTGGGGATTATTTTATTTCAGTTCTTTTTGTTTTTGTTGTTCTAGAGAGTTTATCATCAGTCCCTCTTTCTCCCTACCCAGCCCCCAAACCTCCCCCTTCCAGCCTCCATTGCGCATGTGTTATGAATCCCTCCCCCATCCTGGGTACCAGTTGGGCGCTTTCGGGTGCTGGCGGTTGAAGAGATGGAGCAGCTTCCTCGGGAACACCCGACCCCTTAAAACGCTGCTGACTAGAGCTGCCTTCCTCCCTGCAGCTTCAGCAGGGATGGAGTGAAAGGGGACACCTCGACCTGTCCGTGGGGATCAGCAATGGAGTTAAAGCAATCTCTGTCTGTCCATCTGGAAGCCGAGAAGCCTCTGAGGCGCTATGGGGCGGTGGAGGAGACAGCATGGAAAGCTGAGGGACTGGGAAGTAAGTGTTCCGCGCAGGAAACGTATGGGATCAGTTGGGGATCTGTGCTGGAGCTGGTGGCCCCTAGTGTGCAAGGAAGGTGGGTGAGCAGACAGGGGAAGCGCCCCCGCAGCCCGGCCTCCAGTGTTGCACGGCGGCAGTGTTCTCCCTACAAACAAAAGATGGGACCCTCCAGGGCTGGGCTGCACCAGGAGGCTCCTCAGGAAATCACAAGGCAGCTAAGCCAGGAGGAGCCCAGATCCTGGAGCCAGAGGAAGGACAGCCTTTCCTGCCTGCAGCCTTGGAAGGAGGGTACTAAGGCGTTGGGATACTTGAGGGCTGGCGCGCAGGAGCTAAGGGCCAGCTTGGGAAGCGCCCACGTACTGGAGATGGGGGAGTGTCTGCTTGTTCTTCCTGCCTTGAGGTTCAGGGCATAGCTAAAATCCCAGTATCTTCCCACCATCTCCTGGGTCAGAGGAGAGGCAAGAGAGTAAGCAAGGGCAAGGGCAGCCCTGTACACACACCTGTACTCTACTAGCCTTTGACTTGATGACTAACAGGCGGTTTTGAAACAGTCCTCTGCACTCAGTTTCTCTCTCTGGTGTTTTGGTATCAACAGACATCTGTAAAATAAATCCAAGACTTTTGCTTTCAATTTGTTGGACTTGATACTTAAAACTGCAAAATGTGGAGGCTGTCTGGAAAGTCTAGGATCACTGATACTCCTGCAACTCTCAGGGCTTCCCAGTGTCCTCCACCCTACCTCCTGCTCTGGGTCTTCTGCTTCATCCTTTCTAACTCTCTGGCTTTAGCAGTTTGAAATAAACTCAAGGCTGAAGGTCTGTTTTACAAGCTCAAAATAATACTACTGATGGGTGCCTTTTAGATTATTAGATTGCCATATCCTGAGAAATTCAGATACACCATCTGATTTAATCATTATTACCACCTTGTGTGGCCTTGTGACATCCTTTGCATGGATGCATGGATAAGAAGAATGAGGCTTGCTAGGTGATAAAAATGAAAGTGATAGGACAAGTGTTCAGACCCAGGTTAGCTGGACTCCACACTTTTTGTGTGTGTGTGTGTGTGTGTGTGTGTGTGTGTGTGTGTGTGTGTGTGAAAGTTTACTGCTTTCATAGTTTCAGGAACCTTCCTGGATTGGTGTCAGTGATTTTCTAAGCAGGTAGCGGCCCTGTTGGTCCATGAAAGTCCTATAGGGTAGAAGCCAAGCACAATCGAGGAATCTCAGATTTGACTAGGACTTTTTGGCTGACAATGTGACATGGTGTGTTTCTGTCCTCACTCTACCTCTGATCTTTGAAAGTGGGGATAATATCATGCACCATATGGCTTTATCGTGAATATTAAACAAGAAGGTGTTTTGGCGAGTGCTTAGGGCACAGTTATTTATTGAAACACACATTCATTATTTCAAAAATCTGTGGAGGGAACTCCTTTCATCCTTTCCACGAAACTTCATCAAGTTAAACTGGGTTAAACTGCAATACTGGGAAGATCTCTGGGAGTTCTAGGACAGCCAGGGCTACAAAGTAAGAGCCTGTGTCAGAACAAAGAACCAAAGCAAACTGAAAATATTCAGCAGTTCCCTAATAGCATGTCCCCACCCACAAGGACTCATGTAACCCAGATGGATGACCTTGAATTCTCCTGCCTCTCCTCCCAAGTGTTGGCATTCAGGTGTGCCAATGTGCCCAGCTCCTTCCTAGCACTTCCTTTACAGCTTTTCATTTTCTTGCCTTTTTATTGGGGAAAATCAAATTCAAGTATATAGGGAAAGTTAAGATAAGAATTCAATTTGCGCTATGTAAGACCCTGACAATTTTGTATCTTAGTTCTGGCTGTAGACTTCCTGATAAATGGCAGACCAGTTTCTTGTATGCTTTGGCACAGATCCCCAAACCTATCCATCCCTTAGCTCTTTAAGCCATTCACTTTTGAAATCTTCTCCATGTAGGACTCCAGAGGCCCACTCTGGGAACTTGAATCTGGCAAGTTTGGGTATTTTGGTTCCCATTACAACCAGGAATTTGGGGATTTTTGTTTGTATGTAAAATTTCTCTCAACTCCCAAGTGGTCTACAGAACCATCCCATAGGTACCTCATAACCATCTTTTCCTTCAGCTCTACCAGACCAGACACTGTCTTCTGAACTATATAAACACCCACATGTGCACACACACAGAGAAATAAAATAAAAACTTAAAAATGTGAATAATCAAAGTAACAGATGCTTGGGGCCCTTGGGGGACAGAATGAGGTCATTTAACACGCATCCTGGTCTGTTACAAGCCCCAGGTCAATCAATGCTAAATGGTTGTCATAACGGAGCCAAGTCGAAAGAAGCTCCCTGTATCTAAGTGATTACTGAAAAAGCTGTACAATGTGGAGGATGACTGCCTGTGCTGCCTTCTTAACAGAAAGTGTACAGAAAGACACTTTTTAGTGCCTCACCCCTGTGCCCTTTTTCAGTTCTAGGGATTGAACTAGGGTATAGCACAATAAATAAATGACCCAGAGACTAATATTGGGGTTCAAGCTTCAAGCTGAAGATCAGAGAAGCAAGGTAGCCAAGCCAGTAGATCTCACCTCTTTTTCAGGCTGAAAGGGCTGATCCTGTCTCCATGAGCTCTCACTAAGCCTCAGACAGTGTGGCCCTCCTCAGTGTGACTGGGAATTCTGTGGCTGACAACTGAAGACCCTATCTTTTATATCTCTCTAGTGCTGGGATTAAAGATGTGAGATCCGTTACTCTTTTAGACTGATACAATCTCCTGTAGCCCTGAGTGGCCTTGAACTCAGAGAGATCCATCTTGGTCTTCTGAGTCCTGGGATTAATGGTGTATGCCTGGCTTCTATGGCTAACTAGTATGGCTGCTTTGCTTTAATAAATCATAACATATCACCACACTAGGGAATCATGAATGCTAGAACCCATCTAGTATTTTCTCACTTGAAACAGATTCTAAGAAATTGCTTCTATTAACCCTTTTCTTCCTCAACCTTGCCAGGTAGTTCAGGCTAGCCTCAAAGTTGAGCTCCTTCTGTCTCTACTTCACTTCCCATCTACCTGTTATTAACAGCATTTTCCCATAAGCAGTGAGGGGTTTTTTTTGTTTTGTTTTGGTTTTGGTTTTTTGGTTTTTTTTTTTTTTTAACTCAGTTGGAAAATGCATAGTGACATTTCACTGTGGCAAGATCCATAAAAATATTGCTTTCAACTGACTGCAATTAATTAAGGGAGACACGAAGATACAGTGCCTTTGAGAAAGCTTGGGGCTCTTGAAGAGCACAGTGGTCTGTTGTCAGGGCCTCATCTTAGTAGATATGAACGTGCCTTAAAAGATGATAAAAGACTGGGGGAGAAGATGCAGGGAAGATTCTCTCTCTCTCTCTCTCTCTCTCTCTCTCTCTCTCTCTCTGTGTGTGTGTGTGTGTGTGTGTGTGTGTGTATGTGTGTATCAGGGTAGGAGAGGCTGCAATAAAGCAGCTAACACAGCTAGCTATCTTCCCAGAAGCCCCTGGAAGATGACTGCTATTTACAAATCCAAGGATGTGAAGCAGATCATTAACTGACCGGTATCTGTGCTAATAAACATTATGGAGCTTGAAGTAATGTGACTTGCTGCCTATCTGTGTAACACACTGGAGGGGGAAGGTTTTTCTACCATTTTCCTTGGTTTGACTCATTTCCTCTAACTTTCTAATTAGGGAAAATTATTGTATTATTTCTCATTTTATTTTTAACATTATTTTTTCTTATTATAAAAATAATACATTCACTTTTTGTTGTTTAGAGACAGGATCTCATGTTTCCCAGACTAACTTCCATTTATCATATAGCCAAGGATATCTTTGAACACCTGATCCTTCTGCCTCCACAACGGAAGTGCTAGAGTGACAGGAACATGCCACTTCTGGAAGTGATCCAGGAGAAGGGCACCAGCACTGTTCAGGGCCCTTCCATGTAGAGGGTTTATTATTCAGGGGACATCAGGATTAGGGATGAGAGTCATGACAAATGTTTCCTTGGAATTCTCAGGGAGGAATACTGCTCATCTGGTCATCAGGAAATGACTGCTTGAAGAATGTAACATTTGGCATGCAAATAGCAAGGGTCCAGGCTCTGGGTTATTCAAGGGACAGAGGCAGGTGACTAAGGCAGCTGGGATTCAGTGAGTCAAGGCAAGGTGGTTCTTAGTCAGGAAGGAGGCAGGCCAGATATGACCTATGGCTATGGTTTTAAGAAAAGTCTGAAGCTGACTACCATGGTAAGACATGTTGCTGGGTCACACTTTTCCATGCATTAATATACTTACTTGTTCTATGTGTGGGGAGGTTATGTGGAGGTCAGAGGACAGGAGTCCATCCCCTCCTTCCACCGTGTGGGCCCTGGGGTGGTTGATCTTGGTAGCAAGCCCTTTCACCCACTGCAGGGCCATTTTCAGCAAAGGTCAAGCACAGGATGGCTTTTGTTTCACAAGGCCACACTAGCTGTTGGGGGAGAGTAGGACCACAGAGGGAAGCTGTGGTCCACATGAGCAGTGATTGAGCAGCACTGAAGCATCTCTTCTCCCTTCCTGATGACAAGATGGGGAGTGTTCTTGTGTGTGAAGGGTTGACAAGGGGCTGGTCTTTGGAGGCTGACAACTGAGTGAAAAAGTAGACATGCTTGTCTTGGTACCCTCAGCTAATAGGCAGTAAGCTTGAGCTGTGGAAACTATAGAAACACGGAGATTGGAGTTAGGGAGATGCTAACTTAAAGAATTTGTTTTGTTTTTTTCTGGCTGCCTCAAACTCTTGGTGATCCTCCTGCCTCAGCTTCCTGACTGTCACAGCTGACCCTCATTGACTATATTATTAACAAGCCATTTAATAAACATTCAGATATCAATGGTCAAGCATGGTGGTGCACACCTTTAACCTAGAACTCTGGAGACAGAGGCAGGTGGATCTCTGAGTTCAAGGCCAGCCTGGTCTACAGAGAGAGTTCCAAGACA